TTTCAGGTATCTCCGGTAGTAAGAGGAAGAGCTCGGGATGCCTACATAGCCCACACCACAAGGGACTCCTCGTTGTAAAGAGGGTATCGTCAGAAGAAAATCCAGCAGATCCCCTTACGAAGGGACTGGGTAGGGTCAAGCACTTACAGCACGCTATGAGCATTGGGCTGCAAGACGATATGAGTTTAGATTATATAGATATTAAACATGCAATAGATAATTTGTACTTGACATTTTATGAACAAATAAAGTTGTGTTATTTATGAGTAAAGCTACTATCTTGTGTTGGTTATTTATCTATTGTTTCAATTTTGCATGTTTTGACTTCCTGAATAATAAGATTATTCGAACAGTCCACATCCGTTCATATTTTGGAAGTAGATGTGAATGAAGACTGTCATGAATTGTTTGTAGAATGTATGAAAGGTTTTGGACATAGCAAAGGTATGCTGCAAAGTTCATGAGTGCTTATGAATATGATTTGAGCATTGGAATAAACCCGTGTTTGCTGGTATCACTTCATGGTGTTTTACCTAAAGTGATCGTAAAATGATAATATCATATAGTCTTAAAACTTAGAGATATGGTTATTGTTTAATGATTGGTTATGCATTGAAGATGTGTAAACGCATTAGTAACTTGATGTTATAAAACACATTATTGTGCATGATTTAATTGATAAACAGTAGATACATATGATTCGAAGTTAATATATTCCTTTTATTCTAGGAGAATAAAGGTGATATCTTGGCCACTTGATGATTTGGTTTGACTTATGTGTTGGGCCCGGTCAGAATGGAGTTGATGTGTTCAACTAAATTCCATGTCGAACAAATCGGAGATCGAGAAACAAGTGATGGACAATAAGTATTGTCAGCATGATATCTAGAACAGAGGATTATACGACCCCTTATCTGAAGGACGAGTTACTGATCAGAGTTGTTAACGATGTGTAAGAGCTACAATTGCTAATCGGATCCTGAAGTCGTATGTGAGATACAATTAGTAGACTTATCCAAGTAGGAGGATATTTAAGAAAGTGATAGGATATTATGGTTTATTAATATATTATAAGAATAATATATTAAAGGAGTAATCATATTTATTTAATTAGTATTAGTCATAAATTGATTAGGAATTAATTTGGTGACTAAAAAAGATTAATTAAATAAAGGGGCATAAACTGTTAAATGTATGATCGTTGAGTTTTGGGCTGGGAAACCTAATGGACTAAGGGGGGAACGAAATTATGATGGGGATCCATCATATTTTCGTCCAAAGGCCCTAATCTAGAAGGTTCTATGGGCTGCTTGGTGACTAAGCTTTCCATTAGGGCTTAGACTGAAACCCTAGCAGCCTACACTATAAATAGAGACCCTTGGATGCAATTTTCGGATGCTTGACTCCAAAAGAATCCTTAGGGTTGATTTTTAGTGTTCTTCCTCCTCTCTCTTAATAGCCTTCTTGCTTGTGGGGTTTGTGAACCATTAGAGGAGTTACAATTGTGACTTTAAGCTCAAGATCAAGAAGTTTCGAAGGATTCTGTAACGCTCATAGATCCGGGCAAGTCAATTTAGAGGCAATAAGGGTCGAAAACGACTTTTCGGCAAAAGATTATTTAGAATAAATAATTTTAACCAGGTTATAGTATATGTCACAAGGTTTCCGTACATATAAAGAACGCCAAAATCTGAGTTATAACGAAGAAGTTATGGCCCGTCGAAGTTTTACGGCAAAACCGGCACGGCACCGGGAAGCGTAAAAAGTGAATTTATGATAGAAGACTTTTTAGCCTTAGTTATCTAAACCAAAGTCGTAGAGTATGTTAAAATGAGAAAATCCATAAAAAGAACGACCAAATCTGACTTCGTATGAGGAAGTTAGGATTTTTCTAAGATTTAGCATAGCAGTGCACAGCCCGAAATCTGAATTTTAGATCGATCGATTTTTAGCCGACGGGATCTAAATAAATGTTGTAGTACTCGTAAATACCAACGCGTAGATATAAATAACGTCAATAATAGAACTCGTATGCGAAATTTATGGACGAAGCTTAGTCCCTACTTTTCGAGCGCGACGAATTCGATACAGTTTTGTAAATCCGAGATAGAATGAGAATTAGCCAACGAGGTCTAAATGAAAGTTAAAGATCTCATTAATAGGAACTCAACGGTAAAAAGACAGACAAAAACGGAGCTCGTATGCAAAAGTTACGGACGAAGCTTAGAGACTACTTTACTATAAAGCTCCTATAAATACAAGGGTGAACTCCTCATATTTTCTTCACACCATAAGCCTCTCTTTCTCTCTCTAACTTCTCTCTAGCCTCCCTAAACCCCTCCCAAGTCTACAGAACCTCCCTAGCATGAGAAGAAAGTCCCGGAGTGCCCGACGGCTCCGAGAAGAAAAGCTTTCGGCTTGGAAACGCTGCTCCAGCGAAGCCCGGTTTTTAATAAAAACTCGCTGTAAGTGAGCTACGCCTATACTATATTTAATATAGATTTTATTTAATTATAGTAACATTATTAGGACCTTAAAATAATTATTTGGGCTATTATTATGAGTTATATTGAGTGTTATTTAACGCTTATATAATAGTAATAATAGCTAGACTATTAATTAGTCGTGGTTAACGTTAAAAACTAAACCCTAGTGGTATTGATACTAGGTTTTGTCGAGGAAAATTGTTTTGAGATAACGAAGTGCTGTCTGAGTTCGGAATCACTACCTAATCAGGTGAGTGCATGGTCTCTTTCATCTTACACATAGATATGAAGTATTTATTATATATGATTTACGTGTTGTGAGTGCATAGTCCCTTTCATCTTACACATAGATATGAAGTATTTAATATAAACTACGTGCTATGTGTGCATATTATCTGAATACTTGCTGTCTATGTTGGATGAACGTTTTATACATGTTTTAAAGGATTTAAACTGTATACGTATTTTATATATACGAATATGTGGGGTATGATGATGGGTAGAAAGATGATGAGAGATAGAAGATGATGTGAGTATACATTGGCAGCTATAGACTTAGTGCCTATGGGACCAACACCGGTAGCTATGGACTTAGTACCTATTAGTTAGACGCTGGTAGCTATGGATTTAGTACCTGTAGGAATTGGTAGCTATGGACTTAGTACCTGTTGAACGCTGGTAGCTATGGATTTAGTACCCGATGAGTAGGATATAACAGCTATGGAATTAGTGCTTTACGAACTAACATCGGCAGCTATGGATTTAGTGTCAGTCCTATAACCCTGGAAGTAAGGGACTTCGGAATAAACAAATGCAGGATAGACGACTCTTAGGTTAAATCCTTAAGAGTAAAGAGGATAATGGGGATGGGTAATGGGGTTAATTGTTTGATGATTAAACATAACAATTATATTATTGTGGGTTGAAAACCCTATGTACTCACCAGGTTTCCCAACCTGACCCACTCAGTTTATGTATATCACAGGTGTTGATATGAAGTCACTTTACACTGAGAGATTTAAAGAGATGTAGATCACTAGTGTAAATAAATGTAAGTTCTGTTTATGCTTATGTTTCTGTATTAACGATGACATCCCAAACGTTTTAAGATGAATAAAAATACGTTTCTTCGAAAATGTTTTAATAACGTATTTATCGTGTTTTTCTGGGAACAAATTCCGCAAACTTTTTATAAAATGAAGTACTCTGATTTTTATAAAGCATAAACAAAATCGGTCTTTTCTGGCTGTGATTTTGGGGATGTCACAGATTCCAAGCAATTTGAAAGGTCTAAACACCTAGATCTGTTCTTATAATGAAAATTTTGAATTATACATGTTAGATCTAGGGTTGTAAGCCTTGGATCCATTGCATGTACAATAGAGAAATCTAGATCTAAGCATTAGGATTTGTATGAGCACATAGGATTGTTCTTATGCATAAAACCCATCAGTTTTGGGGTTGATATAAGATTTCTAAGGTACTAGATTCCTACAAAGAATCCTGATAACATCCTTCAATCTGTAAAACTTCAACCATTGTAGTGTGTCAAACTCCTTGCTCAAGGTTGGTTGTTCACTGGCCCGACCATAAATAACATAGACGTACGTTCCAGGTTTATTTATGGTATGACGTATGTACGGTACTAACCTTAATTGAGGCGTTTGACATAAAGGGTTAAGTTTGTACTTTTAGTTTGAGTCATGTTAGAATTTTATTAATTGTTCTCATTGTGGTTGAGAGTATATATCTCTTATATATTATGGTTGGTGCAGTATTATTAAGTTTCGTTTTGTACTCCAAGACTACCGAGTACAAACGAGGGCCCGACGGGAAATACCGGAGGGCAGGAATATTTTAGTAATTAAGTCATTCTGAAATCCAACAACCCAAGCGATATTTCAAACTAGATTCTTCGTACTGTAAGTAGCCAAGAAGTAATGTAATTAATATTAATAATACTTTTATTAGAAGCTAGTTTCTATAGTTGTATTCCTCTTTCGAGGATATGAGTTCACTATACCAATTTAGCTCTAATACCAATTTATCACACCCTCAGCCAAGGCGGCCAATTATACCAATTTCTATAGTTTTAGGACTTAATTTATTAGGTTTTTCTGGGAAGGGACCAATTATATTTAATTTTAATGAAAGTTTGGTTTTTTCTTTGACCTTTGACCAGGTCAAAATCAAAACCCATTTTTCTTAACGAAGCTGCATGACCAATCCAAGTGGGTCCATTTAAAAAAAAAGGATTAGGGCTTTTATCCCTTTTCTTGTTTTGATCGGGTGATATTAGAGGAACGGCGAATGTGCCAAAAGAAACACGAAGGCCAGTAGCATCGGTCCGACGATTGATGATCAGTTTTAGGAAAAGGGAGCGTCATCGGTGGTCGTTGATGCCGAAGAGGAAGGGGTCTCCGGCGTTTGACGAGGCCTAACGGGGGAAGCAGCGAAGCTGCTGTGGTCTTCGGTTTCTTTCCTGATCGAAGGGACGAAGATGTACGGAAGCAGATGACGAAGGAAAGCACTGAAGTTCGTCTATCGCCTCGCAAGTCGATATGGTCTTCGGGGGTTCAACGAGGCCAGAGAGGAAGGTGGTTGAAGCAACGAGGATGCGCCCTTCCGGCTGCTAGGTGCGAAGGAGGATCGACTGGTGACATCGTGGGTCGATGGGTCGTAGTGGCTGGCAAATCGCAAGAAGGGGTGAGGGGTTCGACGATAGCTAACCAAGCATGCCGCAATCGTTGGGAAAGATTCTTTGTGTTCATCTGATCGTGCTAAAAAGGAAGGAACACGAGGAAATAGAAAAATTGATGCAGGGGCTGGCAGATTTGTCGGGTAAAGAAGAGGAAAATGGAAGCATATGGGGCTCGGCTGTGGTGCTCGATCAGCAAGATGGAGACGGACTGCCTCCCTCAGGCGACTGCAGGTAACAGACGGGGCTGCTTCAGCAGTCCGGATTTCTTTCAAGGGCCGGTCCAAAACGTATCTGAGGTTCGGGCGAAAAGAAAAAAAAAAAAAAAAATCCACAAATAAAATAAAGATTAAAAAAAATATTATTTATTCTTCGGTGTAGACGTGTTTAGTTAGCAATAATAAACAAGCCAAATTGTTTATGTTCCGAGCTAATTTGAGTTTGAACCAACTTTACATCCTAAAAATCATTTAGGTAATAATTTTTTTTAATAATATACACTATATATTCTATACATTTTGGGCCCCTGGAGATGTGGGCCCTGGGCGGTCGCCCGGGTTCCCTACAGTCTGGACCGGCCCTGTTTCTTTCTATTCCCCTTTTGTTTTAATTTTTTGATAGAAATCATTGGGGTGTTTCGGTTGGGTCGTTTGACAGGTATGAACACGAAATCAAATGGGGGTCTTGGTGGTTGAAGGTAATTGGATGGGGGGTCTGCTCCGGCAGCCTCTGTTGCTCTTCTTCTTTCCCTTCTTTGGACTGTAAATGTTTAATCAATAGGTTTAGATGGGTTTTTGGTGATTGTTGGGTTTAATGTTCAACACGAGCTGAAAACGGTGATTGAACCCCTCACCCCTTATTTAGACTGTAAAGGTATAAGTTTTATTTTTAATATTTTATATAATGTATTTAATGTGCTTGTATTTGATTTAAATAAATATGTATTTGTGTATGAATTTACATTATGTATTTGTTGGTACAATTGATTTAATGAGTATGTGTTTGCTTTAAATTTGATATATATATATATATATATATATATATATATATATATATATATATATATATATATATATATATATATATATATATGGAAAAGTGAATATATCTAACAACCTTATATAAACTTAGGTATCCAACTCCATAATACTACATCAATTTGTATCATATTTACATTGTAATTGTCTAAGGTTCTTAAACTTCAACCCCATAACTTTATTACTTCAAAAATTTGTGGATTTTCACCATTATCTTTCTTTTACATCACGTCCTTTTACTGAATACCGTCTGATAGGTTTCATATCATACTGTTACAAATGAAATGATGTAGGAGAAATATAATGATGAATTTTCAAATTTTTTTGAAGTACATCAAGTTTAGGGATAAAGTTTAAGAATCTTACATGATTGCAATGAAAATTTAATGCAAAATGACTTAGTTTGATGAGGTTAGGTACCTAAACTTATATAAGGTTGTTAGGTATATTCACTTTACACACACACACACACACACACACACACACACATATATATATATATATATATATATATATATATATATATATATATATATAGGGAAAAGATCAAATGAGAACACATAAAAGTTTGAGAACGCGAGAACAAGTATATTCATTTCTGATTCCATGTATTCATTTGTGGAGAAATGATAAATTTTTACGCATAATCAACATGAATATTATTTTCTCTTCAATTGAAATTAAATGCGTAAAAATTTACCATCTCTCCGCAAATGAATACATGGAATCGCAAATGAATATACTTTGTTCACGCGTTCTCAACCTTTTTTCTGTTCTCATTTGATCCTACTCCTATATATATATATATATATATATATATATATATATATATATATATATATATATATATATATATATATATATATATATATATATATATATATCTTTACTATCTTATAAAACAAATCCCACTATTTCTAAAAATAGATTGAATAAAATAATATTATTTTTTTAAGACGTTCAAATCATGAAACTAATTGTACAACTAATCACTAATAAAATAATATTAAAATTTAAACAAATTCCTATAAATCTTCTCTTCCAAGGTTTTGACCAGATATTTTTTCATCAAAATAAATACTCAACACCCTATAATTTAGTAATTTCATGAATTTTCTTTATTTTTAATATGACATGCTTCCTAAAACAAACTAATGATTGAATTGAAAATAATCATTTTCCATGGAAAATAAATAAATTGTCGAAACAAACTATTTTGTCACCCGCCGCTTTGCGCGGGTAAACGGCTAGTATATATAAAAGTAAACCCCATTATCTAGAATTTTAGGTAAGTGACTTTGCTGGGAAGCTTACGAATTATCTTTGATTTTTTTTTGGAATTTTGAGGATTTTTCAACGAATTTTCTGATTTTACATTTTCCCACTCAACAAAAAGGCATTATGGATTCTTACTTTTTGGATCTAGACTCAATTGTTCCGGCGCTTCTTACGGTAGGAATCTTTTTTTTTTTTTTTTTTTTGGAATCCCCTTATCTCTATCCTCTCTTTTTTATGAAAAGCTCCTCCACAAGTAAACTGGGTCCTTTTTTTATATTTTTTATTTTATTTAATTTAAAGGTATGTTATGCCTCATTTAGACTCACTTGTTCCAACTTCCAAAGCTTCTTTATTGTTCCGAGGCTTCTTCCGAAATCCCTTTATCTTTATCCCCTCTTTTTGATGAAAAGCTCCTCCAGAAATAAACCAGGTCCTTTTTTTTTTTTTTTTAATTTAAAGGTATGTTATCCCTCGATTAGACCCTCTTGTTCCAACTTCCAAAGCTTCTTCCCGAAGGAATTCCCCTCAAATAAAACCCATGCTTTAAAATTTAAACAAAACGAGGAAGGTGGATTAATGTGCCACCGTTTGAAAAATCGTCTATTCACCTACACGCTTCCATTCACCTCCAAGACGCTTCCCTACTTTCTCACTACACTACTACGTTCGTCACCTCTCTCAATCCAACAACCCAATATTGTTTGCACCCCACATTCTAATTTACGTTTCGATAACTGATAATCCATCTGCATCTATCATTGGATTAACAAGCAGTTTTAAAGGATATTATCTGATTCGCTTTTCATTCAACCATGTGACTTCATGGATATATCTTTATTTTAATGGTGGTTTATTTTCTGTTTGTGATTCTCAAGTCCTGAAGTCATAAGGGTTTTGAAATTTCAACTGGTGATTTCATTTATTCGCCCTAATAAACTATTCCGTCATTCCAAATTTTCGTTTTTAATGAGAAATCATCTGACTATAAGGGTTTCTAATGCTTTTTTTTTCAGGAAAGATATCTATAATCTGAAACCTCTCTCTTATAAGGACTCCCCCGTATATTCATCATCAACAAAGATCCTCTTTGTTTTCTGATATACTTTTTGTGTTTTCTGTCTCTAAAAAATATTGTTAATGGTTCCAAAAATTAGATTTTAATTTTATTGCATTTCATAAAAGGAAAACAGAAAAAAATATATATATATATATACTTGCTGTTTCAATTTTTGTGTTGCTGCATCTTCTTACCCTAAATAGCTCTTCAGTTTTAGATTTTTTCCAGCTTTTAAAATTAATATGGGGGATCGTTCTGTTATTTCGGGCAGAAAACGAGGCCCTTTAGGTTCAACCGATAGATATGGAGATAAAAGCATAAAGCCATAATTATGCTCAACTTTGTCAAAAATTAATCAAAGCAGATGTAAGTTGGATTATCATATGCCCTTTTTTCTATATAGAATCAGAAGTCCAACTTATGTAAGTACCTTTTCACCATAAATTCACATCATTCACAGGCAACATACTTACAAAATCACAAATATTTGGCCAGCTCCAGAGCCACAGTTCAAATTGATGATGCAACTGGATCACTCTCTGCAACAATATCAACACTAGACCTTGAAAAGTTCATTCCCTTTACACCTGAGGAATTAAAAGATGTAGAAGACAATGTAAGCTCAATTACCTTCACAATAATTCATTAAAAATTAAACTTACCAATTAAACTAAATACAAGAGAAAAGCGTTCACGATACGATAGCAGCATCAGTCGACTCGGTGTTACTTTTCGCATTTGTGTGCTCGCAAAAGACATGCCACCAGCAAGAACCAAGCACAACATACAACATTGTCAAAGCATACTACATTACACCAGCCAAGAAACCAAAATAGAATAGGGACGAAGGGCCCCTTTTAAAAACATTTTGCTTTTTGAAAACCATTTATAAAAATGGCCCACAATAGCCAATGAAGTAGCATTTCACAGATTAAAATCTAACAAACTTTACTTTTTGTATATTGCTTCAAATGCACAAATCTGTTAAGAACTACGTAACAAGAAGTTTTCAGTGCTTGTAGGAAGATAATTGCCATATGGCAATATTACTTTCTTCTGTCTCACATTTCTTTAAGTTTTTTATTATTTTATTTTTATTTATTATATGTATTATCTACGGTTTATCAGAAACCAATATTGGCAATGTACTTTAATTTTCAATATAAGACCATATTCATTTCATCTTCTTACGTAATATATGAGGACATTGGACGGTCCTTAGGATGGCCCTCTTTTATATATATATATATATATATATATATATATATATATATATATATATATATATATATATATATATATATATATAAACTGATACGTCAGGAAATGTATAATTTTTAATTTGTTAAACATTGGTTTCTTAAATTAAAATTGACTTATATCTAACCTATATTTATGAAAATTTAATCGATCACATATAATTGATTATATATATATATAATCAATTATATAAGGTTCATGTGAGACAGTCTAATTTTTTGAGACCGTAAGACGCAATCCTAATCATTCATTTAGAAGATAAAAAAAAACTTTTGAAAATGCAAAATAATTGAAAATTTTCGAAAAACAAATTTTCAATAATTATTTTCGGAATTTATATTTTCCAAAAAAATAAAATAATAATAATAATAAATACATTTTTTTACATATTCTACAAAAATATTAAAACATTCTATATATCATACAAATCTTGTAGAATATTTTAACATTCTAAAAATCACATTAGAATATTTATAGTGTAATATTCTATTATAATATTTCATTTATTTAAAAAAAATGGTAATTTTTTTATTTTTTATATTTTTTTAGGTAATTCAAGTTCCAAAAATAAAAATTTTAAAAAGAAATTTTGGACTTTTTCTTTTATTTTGCATTTTAAAATTATTTTTTAATTTTGTCTCACGGTCTCATAAAATTAGCATGATCTCAAATGAACCTGAACATATATATATATATATATATATATATATATATATATATATATATATATATATAGTGTTGTTATATAATTTATTTATATAAATTGTGTTTACATGTTTGTCTCATATTGTTTATTTTATAAAAACTTTAGTAAATACGTTTTGCATTCGACCGTAAAACACATCTCATACCCGTATATACATACGTATATATAGTTGTTCCTGTTTTTTTTAGTGTTAGACTATTTCTAACGTTAAAATCAACATTGGTCGGATTTGGATTTATATATTATTCTGGAATATATAACTAATGGTAGAAATCATGTCGAAATCAATAATTTAACGTTTCGCAATTAATAAATATGAAAATGTCTGATTTTTCAACTTTTATAAATATTTTTACTAAACAATATTTCAAATATGAAAATAAATATTAGGTTATAAACTGAGTCCAAAAATGCTTTCGGAATTCCCGATAGAGGTGTGCAAGTCTCTCAAATGATAGAAACGGTTTTAGTGATTTTAAGAAATCAGTATTATACTAGTTTTGGAGTTTTAAAACTGTCATATTTTTTGCACACAAACTCCGTTTTGGACGTTCTTTATATTTTCGGAAATACGGAAGCATGTACTACGAGATTACAACATTTGTTTTTCTCACAATGACTTAATACGAAATTTCAGTTTTTTAGACGTATTCATATGATTTCAGTTTAAGCTTTTTGATTTGTTTACCAGCTTACATATTTGGAAGTAAGATATCATCTTGTATCTTATAATAGTTGAAATAAATCATTTATTTTAGAGATTTACTGTGAACTTGACCGCTCATCGTCCTTGACCTAATGTCACACCCCCAAACCGGAACGGCGGAAACGTTCGGGGGCGGATGACTTCATGTGGTAACGTAACAAATGAATACATAGTAAAGAAAGCAATACAACCATCATATATATAATTGAAAGTTTACATTGTTTAAAAGAGTACATGTTCAAAACCAATTACAATATGATGTCAAAATATGAATTCAAACTAGTGTTGCAGCGTTCCTTCTTCAAAAGCTGTTTAGTACCTGTAATTACTGAGTCCCTGGGACATACAAGTAGTTTAGAAAGAGTAGATCAGCATTTAAGCTGGTGAGTTTCATAAGCATTTAATGATAGTATTTGTATGAAAATGAAATGGTTTGTTTTTGTTCGTTAGTCTCTAGAAAATCCCATATTTCCTACTGGTATAAATGTAGCCTTAAATCAAGACCAATATATGTTAAAAAGTTGATGTTTTTCCATCTATGAGTAGTGGTTAGAAGTTCCAAACTTATATCACAATTGGGTTTTTCATGCATAAAATAAATGAACTTATGTATGTATAAAACCTCCATTATATCTGAAAACCCCCGTAAATCAATGTGTTTTTAATACTCTATGTGAGTTTTATAACATGCTATTGACAAGGAATGCCTATACACAACGTTCTTCAGGTGTTGGAATGTTTTGATGTTTGTCACCCCAAATGGTGTACTGTAGCTAACAGTCAGGGCGCGGGGTTGTCAAGCCCTTATAGATCTATACACAAACACCATGCTCCCCCTGCAAGGGATTCTGGTATATAATACAGGACTTGAAATGTGTACTCGTGCGTACGTGAAGTTTAATGTCTCACAAAACTAAGTATAAAACAGATTTACGTGTGAAAATGTTCGTTTGTTATTGTATATGAAAGTAGCTTCTTGAAATAGTATTTCCATGTATGTAAAAGTTCTTAGTATTCTCATAAAACTATACCTATTATAGTTTCCTAAAAGTGTGTTTTGCTTGTATAATAAACCCTTAGTGAAAATGCTCACTTGTTATGAAAAATATAGTTTTTGTAGTGCCAAAACCGACACACATAAATATAGTATAAGCAGAGTGTCTGATTTATATAAATACATAAATCATTTCTCATTTCAAAAGATAAAATATTGTCGTGGTATAATTTGCACATGAAAGTTTCCCTATAATAGTTATAAATCACATATGATTCCGTTGATAAAACGCGTATAGTGAAAGTCTATATAACACACAATAATAATCGAGTGTTTTACTTGTATCCCCCCCCCCCCTTAAAAGCATATAAAAGTACTCATAAAACATTTAAAAGTGTGAATTATAGGGGTATGAACTCACTTGAAAGATCGGAGGAGGCGGGATGAAAACCGGACAAAATTTCGACTCGAGAAAGCGGATTTTCTCGGGATTCTCGGGATTCTCAGGAATCTCGGGAGCACAAACCTTCGGGACTTGAGCAAAGTGATCGGGGCTTCGGGATAGCACGGGCACGGAAAACGAGGCAAGAATGCAAGAGAAATGAGAGAAATGGTGCCCTTTCTTCGGAACCCTCGCATCCCTTTTATAGGGGCTGGGAACCGCCTCGGTACGCTGGGCATACGCGTGTACGCTGGGTGTATGCGTGCGTCACGCATGACCGAATCCTCGACTGCCTCGGAGCTCGGATGGGACGGGGCATAGCCTCGCATAGGGCGCGACGTGGACGATCCGAGGCCAAGGCCTCGAGTACGCTGGGCGTACTCGCGTGACTCAACCTTCGGATAATACCGAAGATTTCAATAATATATATATATATATATATATATATATATATATATATATATATATATATATATATATATATATATATATATATATATATATATAATATTTAATAAACTTCAAAAATTCATATCTTCTTCATACGAACTCCGTTTTCGACGTTCTTTATATCCACGCATAGGTGAGACCATACTCTACAACTTTCGTTTAGATCCCGTCGGCAAATTTTGAAATTATTTTTATTATTTATTTTTAAAAGGTCGTGGTAAGAAAATTTCTTTAGAAATTCATAACTTCTTTATCTGACGTCAGTTTTTTCCAGACTTTTTACCGCTGAAATACCATTGTCGAGACCTTCGTTTCTCATTTAGGTCATTCCGGCCAAAAGTCGCTCGATCTCCGATTCGAGTTTTTAGCCGTCTGTCGTTAAGCCGAACTTGAAAATTTTCTAACTTTCTTATACGAA